GGAATAGAAACCTAAGACGACCCCCCCATTTTTGGGGAATCTTGTTAGGGTTTCTGACCTCAACTATAAATGTGGTCCTACGATTATAGCCGATCCCCAAGTGTGTAACAAGGTGAAGCCCAAAAGGAACCAACTTTTTAGCTAATGACCGTTTCTAAGTAACCGACTTTCCCAATTCTCCATCACAATTTCCACCATTAACTGAACCCACTTTTTCTTGCGCCAGATCCTCAGGCCCCTTTTGACCTTCTCACCCTTTTTATATCCCATTTCCTTCTCCCTCTTTTGCTTGAACCAGAATCCGGAAAAATGGAGAGCAGTGGTAGTGTGTTTGATCACAAGCAAATGGTGGCCAAGACGGAGAGAGGTGAGTCCCCGAGATCGTCCACGAGGCTGCAGAGGCGAGCACCCGCGGCTCTGCAGCTTGACTGCACGGCTCAGAACCCGTTTGCCGTCGAGGGAACAGCTATTCCGCTGCTTTCGCCTCTCTACGTGCCTCCGAGTCTTTCATCTTCGCCCCGGGAGGGGGAAGGGTTCGGGTTTCACAGCAGTCCTGACAAGGAGGGCTCTCAGGCACTGCCGGACAGCCAGGGAGGGTGGCAGCATCCGGCAATATCCGAACATTCTGAGCTCGTGACCATGTTTCAGACCAAGTTTGTGCTCGTAAATGATTCACGTTGAAGGCTTTCTTAGTTTTGGGTTTCATGTTTCAGTATGTAGAAAATTTTCAAGGCCCTTACCAAGCAATTTTTTTCCCTACCCATCTCTTGAAAACAGCTAATAAAACGAAATCTATAGGTTTGACGAGTTCGTGAAAACTGTACTAGGAAAAACGTGTAATTGAAAATACAAATTCCGCCGTGCAAACAAAAAGGAAAGAGACTTCTTAGGCTGGAAAAAAAATGTTCTTTATGTACAGCAGGCCAAATACCTACACGACTACTCTCTCACTTAATATTTCTCTATCATGTTTGTCTAAAAAGAGATGGAACATTGAAAGAGTGACTCTTACAGATGCAGTGTTGCTGTGGCAAGGAAACAAGACATCCTTGTACTGAGATCAGAAGTCGAACTCCCCTGTTGCCTGTGTATCCACGCAGCATATGAAGAAGAGGGGCATTGTATCATCGTTTTTATTTTGTTCTTTATGTACAGAAGGCAAAATACCTACACGACTACCCTCTCACTTAATATTTCTCTATCATGTTTGTCTAAAAAGAGATGGAACATTGAAAGAGTGACTCTTACAGATGCAGTGTTGCTGTGGCAAGGAAACAAGACATCCTTGTACTGAGATCAGAAGTCGAACTCCCCTGTTGCCTGTGTATCCACGCAGCATATGAAGAAGAGGGGCATTGTATCATCGTTTTTATTTTTAAGAGTTTTAAGTTCAATTGGGTTTCGGGAGAGTGGCATACCTTGTTGAAGAGAATGTCTTTATCGTTTATATGCATGATCCCATCCTTCAGCGTGCATTTCCACCTGCTCTTTGTGCGAGAAACCTAATTGCATCAGCAGATAAGGCTTTCCCGTGATTAGAATATCCGTGTACAGACACAAAATTGGTCATGTTAAAGAGGAACCTCGAAGTAGTACCTTGTCGAATTGAGCCAAAACTAGGTGTTGAGTGTTAACATCCTCACCACTGTCGAGGTCATCCAACTCATCATCGTCATCATCTTCATTCAATAACTCATCGTCATCTTCATCATTTTGTGCAGCAACAAGAGTGCTGGCTTGGGTTTCTAACATATGGGAAACTAAACAGATCATATCTGTTTGCACTGAAACACTATCCAATATGTTGTTATTGACTTCACTCACCATTAAGAGCAGGAGTTTTTGCTTCGTTGTAGTCTTCATTGACTCCTTGGTAGCTGTATATCTTCAACCCAAGGAAGTGATCGTCAATTAAGTGAGAATAAATATACCCCGGTCGTGGAGTTATATCATGATCCATTACATGTGAGAAGACAAATAAGAGGAGAACAACATAACAATGACAGAAAAAGTTCCTCTTTTATTTATCCATGTGAATTCTAAGAAAGCAAATGCAATCTATATCAATTCATGGGATAGCCTTCAAAATGGACCCATCGGTGTTAAAGGATAAGAGAGATAGTAATTGCTGACACTCCGGTTAGGGTTGTATAAGATAAGGGATTAAGAACACAAATCAAGCATCAATACTGAAACACATGGTGCAAGATGGACATATCTACAGAAGGTCAAATTTCTTACATTGGGCGTAGACAGTATATCATCGTAAGGGTCGGGCATTGGCCCATCAACTTGAGGAATCTTCAGAGATGAGCTGATGAAATTTCCTGAGACATTTCTGCTAAATTCATTGGTCACACTTTCCCCTTCGGTTCCCTGCAAATTTGCATTCCGAGCATTCGATTCACGTATATTTAAGAACACCACACATGATGCTAAGTAGGTAAGGTGTAACTAATACTTTAAAGAGCTTTCCAAATGTTGGAAACTCAAACCAATATCTTCAAAATGCATAAGTTCATGATGGTAAGTATAAACAGACTGTCTATGATTACTCAAATTATTACATCAAATACAACTGCTATAAATAGAGGGGACGAGAGAGGGTTAGAGAGATCTTGGACAGAAGGAGAATTGTACTCTCATTGTAATATCTGTATTTACATACGAGCTTCCACGTAAGTCTCAAAGCTAGACTATCACATATCTTGTTGCGATGGCTTCCACAAACATATCACTTGCGGAAAAAGAAAACTCTGTTTCCTTCAGATCGATTTTTTCAGATTGGAAGCTAATGAAATCACGAAAAACCTTACTTTTTCATGTGAAGTATTCCAAATTCCAAGTGTTCAAATGAAGTGTTCTAAATACCTTGGACACCGCATCATTGGCTCCATCTTGTTGAGGTATAGATCCACCATTTGGATATTGTGCAGGAAAGTCCTCACGTTTTCTTTTCACAGAAGATGGCACAAAGAAGTCCTGGATGTATCCGATTAAAGTTCAAACTTTCTTACTGCTGACTTGTCAATATATGGAAGGAACTTTATGAAAAACCAAAATCATTTGAATCCTGGACCAGAGTGCCAAATTCATGATTCCACAACCTAGATGTTAAATAAAAATACCTGTGTCAATTGCTGATTAGAGTTTCCTCTCTCAGCCACATTTTGGCCATTGACATAAGCTGTGAATAGGTCAGACAGTTACACTCCAAAACCACAGACCAATACACTTGGTGTTGACAGAAATAATACTTACCAACATTGACATCGAGCCTTGGATTTGACCATGGAGAGGATGATGGCTGCAGCCAAACAACAAATTATTAGTTCAAGTACTACACAAAACCAGAAAAGCTCATGTCTCCCGAGAAACCATTTTCACGTCCGATCAGCCCATCAAAACAAGTAGAAAACGCAGTTCAACAAGTATTGCTCACCATATAAGGACTTGGGCTTCCTTTAAGATCAGGAACGTTTCCATTTTCACTTGCAGGAGTTGGATAACCACTAGAGCCAGTAGGGATGTTGTACATGGAAGAGTTATCAGCAGTACCCGGGAGAGGCGTCGGAAGAGGAGTCTGCATACAAAGATAACATGAACTCCAAGTGAATATCTCGAAACTATAAGATTTGAGGAGATTAGAGTTTCAGTTGAATATCTCAGAACCACAAAATCTCAGTCCATGCGAAATTACATACTGGAGGGAAGAGCATTTCAGCTGTTGGAGTCTCGTATTCCTCTGCGCCTTCGTAGGGAACATTCAGATCGTGCGTCAATGGACCCCCAGGAATTGGCTTCGGAGCAGATGACCGCTCTATCGGTCCACATATGACTCCAGCGTGCATCATCTTCATTTCCCAAATCTACCAATAAAATTGCAACCAAAACAAAGAGCATCAGCCAAGGCAGGCTCCAGAAACCATAGAGTTCACTTAATTGGAGGAAATGGACTCCAAAAACATTAGGTTACAGCGGGACAAACCAACATCCAGGTGCTACTCACGAACCAGAATCCACTAACAAACATCTATTTCAATCCGATTCCAGTAAAATGAAGAAGAAACGCAATCGATTCAAGCATCCTAAGGCCCTGGAAAACACCTAAAACTTACTCCCTGAAGGTCGTTGAGAACACTCTCTCCAGGACCTCCGTTGTTGATGAACTCGTCCCTGACCTTGTTGATCACGTCCTCGATGACGTGAATGTACAAAGCGCTTGTGGTCGTCGAAGCGGCCATCCTCCTAGCTCCTCTGATCTCCTAGGGCTTTCTCGGAAATTTTCGGGGTAAAGAACCCGAGAGAGAAACACACAAACACCTGAACAGGGGTCTCCGAGGTCAACTAGGGTTTGCCGGTGGCGCTACGACGGAGAACGGTAAAGATCGGCGATGAAGGGGAGAGAGAGAAGAAATGTGGAGGAAAAAACAGGGAAAAAAATTATAGGGAGGAATATAAATAGGTTTGCATCAGATCATGTGGGAGTAAGGACACGTGGCATTATCTGCGTGCTTGCAATATCTTTTTTTTTTTCGTGTCCACCGTTCGATTCTGCTGCTTCCTGTAATAAGCGGTCGAGGGCGCAATCGCCGACCGCCCGATAAGGCCGCGATTACGTCATCCGCAGTCGACGGTCCATATCAAAATCAACACAAATTTGTGTTTCCCTTCTTCCAATGAAAAAATATTACAAACTTGCACCAGTATTTTGTTTATTTTCCGATATGCGCCAGTTATTTTGGTTTGTTTCATTTGCTAATCAACCTCGAATATTTAGCCTAAAACGGACTTCAAAATTTGAGTTAGACTTAAAAAGTAATATAAAGATCATAATATATACACACACACACACAGAAAGAGCATAGTTAAAAAAAAATAGAGCTAGAAAAAATTCAAGGTGGAAAAAATGTAATTTGATTAGAATCATTTCAGAATTACTTTTAGTTCGCAAAAAATTTCCATTTAAAGATTAATTAAACTCAATTCTATAAATTCAAAAGCTTAGATACTGTAATACAAACATTTTACTTATTTAACTCACAAAATTGGACTACTTAATTTTCTAAACTAAATTTTATAGATATTATAAAATAATTTAATTGTCAGATTTTTTAATTCTTTTAAGTCCAATGGATTATTTAGTTATTAATATTTGTTCGTAAAAATAAAATGTGGGAGTTTTTGGAGTTTTTAGAATCCAAAAAAAAAAAATAATAACATTCAACTTTTTACAAAATTACTTTTCTTAAAAACTTGGAAAACTATTTTAGTGAAAAAATTAATGAAGAAACAAAAGCTATTTTTGTTGAGCTTTCAAATATTATAAAATCCAAAATCAAAAACCAAAAAGTAAAAATTAAAATCCAAAAACTAAAACCAAAAACTCAAAATAAAAGCAGATTGAAATCTCGATTGAAAGTTCTCTTTTTTTTTTAAACTTTACATTTTACAATGTTTCCAGAAATGGCAATGACGTTATTTCAATTCAACTTTGAGGGTAAACATGGAAATAGGCATTTCAATCTATCGGAATTAGGGCTCGTAAAAATGAGTCTTTGAAAGACCCTAACATGGCAGACAACACTGCTTAAATCCCTAAGGCCGATCTTTCTCAAGGTGCGATATCCGCTGTACCCTCAACCCCTAGGGAAAGCCAAATTCATGATTCCACAACCTAGATGTTAAATAAAAATACCTGTGTCAATTGCTGATTAGAGTTTCCTCTCTCAGCCACATTTTGGCCATTGACATAAGCTGTGAATAGGTCAGACAGTTACACTCCAAAACCACAGACCAATACACTTGGTGTTGACAGAAATAATACTTACCAACATTGACATCGAGCCTTGGATTTGACCATGGAGAGGATGATGGCTGCAGCCAAACAACAAATTATTAGTTCAAGTACTACACAAAACCAGAAAAGCTCATGTCTCCCGAGAAACCATTTTCACGTCCGATCAGCCCATCAAAACAAGTAGAAAACGCAGTTCAACAAGTATTGCTCACCATATAAGGACTTGGGCTTCCTTTAAGATCAGGAACGTTTCCATTTTCACTTGCAGGAGTTGGATAACCACTAGAGCCAGTAGGGATGTTGTACATGGAAGAGTTATCAGCAGTACCCGGGAGAGGCGTCGGAAGAGGAGTCTGCATACAAAGATAACATGAACTCCAAGTGAATATCTCGAAACTATAAGATTTGAGGAGATTAGAGTTTCAGTTGGGGAAAGAACGAGCTCTTCCGTAAACCCTAGAAAATGTCGGGCGGGTTTTTCCGGGTGAGTTCCCCATGTTTTTCTTGTTCCCTCTTCTCGAATCAGCAACCGATGTATCTTTTGTTAGATCCGGGTTGTTGCAACTCAAATTCGAGTTCATCTGCTTTCTCAATTTCAGATTATGCATTGTGTTTCAGTGAAGTTCGATTTCGGTTGCTGGATTTGCACTGATTCCTATTTGGTTGAGTTTCAGGGTACTTCTGCTGAACAGGATACGAGGTTTTCGAACAAGCAAGCCAAGCTCCTGAAAACCCAGAAATTTGCTCCGGAGTTGGAGCACCTGGTTAGTTTCATTTCCGGACACATAATTATAGTGAACGAGATTGTTGTCACGTTCGTGACTGGGGGAATTTTCAGAGTTAAACGACATTAGTTCTCCGTGAACCCTAAATTATTGATTTCTTGGTGTTAAGTATTTGGTCCAGCCTCAGTGGGTTGGAAGCTTTTGCGTGTTCAATGATTGTAAACTTTAGCAAAGTTTGATTCTTCCTTGTCCCGATGTCTCTCTTCTTGGCTTTGGTGTCAGGTGGATATGGCCAAAGTGAAGATGGATGTTATGAAACCATGGATTGCAAATAGGGTCACCGAGCTGCTTGGGTTCGAAGATGAAGTACTGATTAACTTCATTTATGGTCTGCTCGATGGAAAGGTAATGGATTACTGCATGGGACTGAGCTAGGCTTTCTGCCTTCAAGTTTGTTATTGGGCTATTATCTTGATCAATGGTTTAACTAATGCAGGTAGTGAATGGTAAGGAGATTCAGATATCACTAACTGGATTCATGGAGAAAAACACTACGAAGTTCATGAAAGAACTCTGGACGCTTCTTCTAAGTGCACAGAAGAATGCTAGTGGTGTTCCACAACAGTTCTTGGATGCTAAAGAAGCGGAAACCAGGAAGAAAAAGGTTTTTCGTTGATGCATCCAGAAATTGGTCAGTGCTGAAGAATGCTCTTCCTTCTGCTGTTCTCTTATGATCTTTATCACCCTTGTGTGACAGGAGGAAGCAGATCAGTTGGCAATTGAAATAGGGAAGAGGAGGGAGAGAGAAAATAAGGAACTTGAGCATGATGTATCGAAGAAAATGGTAATACTATCTTTGTTCATGCTAGAGTTCCAATCTTTGTAGGTGTTTTCCCGGTTTTAACTTTCACCTGCCCTTTTCATGTTATTCAGCTAGCTTCTGCAATTATTAGGGTTCATGTGCTTTACCTCAAACTACTGTAGGACAGTGGCGCTGAACCAAAGGGTACAAGTACTGCAGTGGAGTCAAAGTTGTTGAGAGAACGTCCAGAGTATGGGAGAAAGGCTGATGAGAAGAATGGTGTAAAAGAAAGGAGAAGGTAAACATTTAAGTGCACGCGCTTTGGTTTCCAATACCGTAATACTGCTTCAAAGTTGAAGTGGAATAGAATGGATGAATCATTAGCTATTGGTATCAACCTGGTAACATATGTCAATGGACATTTAACATCACCCTTTGGTCAGCAGGGATCCAATATCTCCTCGACGCCGTGATGCATCCCCTTCACCCTTGCGGTAATGCTTCGATAGTTTTATTCTTTTAATTCCTTTGGTTGTATCTATACTTGTGAGGAAGTGTATTGATTTCAGTTCATTCCTATGCAGAGGATCGCGTTCTAGGTCGATCAGCAAAACAAGTTCAGCCTCTGGAAGTTACTCAGAGTATGCTGTCCTCTTCTTAAATTGAAGCATTTGATCTGCATACTCTATTAGTTTTTTCAATTCTCGTACATTTTGCTATGCCTTTTCTATCTCTGTGGCTGATCTATGTATGCAATGACAGACGGAAAACTAGGAGCTTGTCACGGTCACCAGAGGGCTCTATTTCACCCCGAAAGCGGAGGTCATCGTATTCTAGACGCCGGTCCAGGTCATTTTCGTTGTCTCCCCGGCGACGGAGGGTTCGTTCTCCTTACCAAAGCAGGTCCCGGTCACCTGTTAGGCGCCGCAGGTCCCGATCACCTGTTAGGCGCCGGTCACGATCACCTGATAGACGTCGCAGGTCACGATCACCTGTTAGGCGCCACAAGTCACGATCACCTGTTAGGCGCCACAGGTCACGGTCACCTGATGGACGTCGCAGGTCACGATCGCCTGATGGACGTCGCAGGTCACGATCGCCTGGTGGACGTCGCAGGTCACGATCACCTGATGGACGTCGCAGGTCACAATCGCCCGATATACGGCGCAGGTCACGATCTCCCGATAGACGCCGCAGGTCACGGTCTCCTGATAGTCGTCGCCGGTCACCATTTTACAGACGCCGCCAGTCACCATTGCCTGATAGACGTCGCCGGTCACCAACACCACCAGCCAGGCGTCGCAGGTCACCTTCGCCCCCTGCAAGGCGTCGCAGGTTGCCTTCACCGCTGCCTAGGTCGCCATCAGCAACCTCTAGGAGTGCAGGATCTCCTTCACCAGTTAGACGAGGAGGATTGCCTTCGCCTGCTAAACGGCCCTCAGTGCCATCATCCGTTGGCCGGGAATCTGCATCACCATCCCCTCGTGGCAGGAAGAACGGGCTGCCATCACCTCCTGCTGGGAGACGCAGGTCACTGACACCGGCTGGGCGTTCTGATTCTGAATCACCTTCACAGGTTAAGCGTCGTGGACCTCCGAAAAGAGGATCGGCATCTCCCGTTCGGCGGCGTAGATCACCATCTCCATCACCCTCACGTGACAAGCGTGGTGGATCTATATCTCCTGTCACTCGTCGAGGTAGATCTCCTTTACCTGTCAGTGAAAAGTCACAATCTCCTGTTCGGAACAGGTCACCAATACCTGCGAGACAAAGGCCAAGTTCTCCTTCACATCGTTTATCACCACCACCTGCGAGATCCACGTCTCCTGCAAGAGATAGATCATTGAAACGGCGAAATCAAAGGTCACCATCCACTTCACGACAAGATGCACTCTCCCCTGTGACATGCAAATCACCTGATAGACGCAAGAGACGATCTCCATCCCATAGCAGGTCTTTATCAAGGTCACCCTCTTCAACTCCTGTTCGTCGTAGGTCTCTTTCGCCAACTAGCAGGATCTCCCGGAGGGAGAGATCACCTGGACAACAGCCTGACGAGCGAAATAAGTATGTGGTTCACGATTCCTTTGACCATTTTTATCGGTAAATCGCTCGTAGAATTAGCTGCTGTAGGCTATTTAATTATATGCCTTGCCTGCTGATTCTTCTAGGTCATTGGTTGTGGGTTGAGAATAATTTTTTTTTAATTATTCTCTCTGCTGCTTTGCTCTTATAGGGAGGACACAGACCACAAATCCAAGTCCTCAAATAAAATATCGGTGCGGTCCCCTGAATCTGGTAAGCAGAAAGAATCACTCAAGAAGCTGGAAGAAGTTGGAGGCAACCGAGGACATGTGAAGGAGCATGAAAGAAAGAGGTATCACTATGTTTTACACTGCCTAATTTGTTAGTGAATTCAGGATTCATGCTCTTGCTAACGCATCTGTTCTATACAATTTATTTGCAGTGAGAGAATTTCCCGCCGCAGAAGTCCTGATGCGCGTATATCTCCAGCTCGTAGAACACATATTTTAGAGGATAAGAGACAGTCTGATCCAAGTAATGTGAAGGAGATTGAGCAAGTTGAAAAAGCGAATCACAGAGACTTGGATGAGAACTTTTCCTCTGATTCCGAGGGAAGTAGAAGGCATCGAACTAAGGATAAGAAGAGAAAGCATAAAAGATCGGAGAGGGAAGAAGTTTCTTCAGATAATGATGAGAGTTATGATTCTGAAGTAGAACATAGAAAGGAGGCTAAAAGGAGGAGGAAGGAAGAAAAGAAATCGAGAAAGGAGGAGAAGAAACGCAGGCGAGAGGAGAGGCGTCGTAGGAGGGAAGGAAGGCGTGCGGAGAAGTCAAGGCTTAAGAATCGGGATTACTCCGATACTTCAGAAGGCGAACCCGAACCTGACTTAGGAGACGAGGCCCATCCAAAGAATGGAAAAGAGGAGGATTCAGATCCAAAGAAGCTGGAGATTGAGTTGCGAAATAAAGCACTCGAGTCACTGAAAGCAAAGAAGGGCGCCGGGCAATAATCTCTATCACGCTTCTGAGCATTCCGTGTGATTTGAACATGATTCGGATCATTATCTCGCTGGGTTTTCCCTTATGTCCTTGTTCTTAAATGTTTCCAACCTTTTTTTTAAATTTACTGTAGTCTGTGTTTGTTGGACAAGTGACAGCCTTTGTGTGCTATTCTGTTGAGTGCAACTTTATGCAGACATTCATGGCTGATCCTTCTGGTAATAACTGTTGTCTTCTTCATCCATTGTTCCTCCTACCTTCTGATATTATATCTCGGTATTGGTTTTTCTCTCGACTCTCTCTCACATTAGTCAAGTTCAACACATTCCTTTTATGTGTTTGATCTCTCTATACACTTTGAAACCCAACACAAATTATTGCAGTAACTGTCTACTCAACTGCCAGCTCGAGTCCGGAGTGAATAACCAACAGTGTTGGATACATGCATAAATTGTTTTCACACATCATAACAAGAGTTTACTCCGATTATGAGTTGGGTTGGTAGGAGAAGGCGTTGATGGTGAGACCGGTCTGACCTGTTATGTATGAAGCTGCAGGCATACACAGAAACGCCACAAGCGACGAAACCTCCTTTGTCTCTCCAAAACGGTCCATCGGAATCCTTGAGAGTACTGTCTTTGTGAACTTTTCGTCACGCAAATGCTGGAAGAAAAAACATATATATAGAAAGAGATTTAGAGGATGATCATAGATAGATTATACAATGCGTGGGAGGTTTCTAGTTTACAGTTTCAGCCATCGGAGTTGGAATGACACCAGGAGCTACTGAGTTTGCCCTTATGTTGTCGCTTGCCCACTCACACGCTAGATTTTTTGCTAACTGGTTCATAACTCCTGCATTTGCACATACAGATATTGTCATATGGGTATCTTCATTTGGCCATATTAATTCCGTTCTCATGTTTGAAAACATAGAAGTTGCCCGACAAAGAGCAGAATGAAAGAGAAAGTTAACTTCAAATGCTTACCTTTTGTTGCACCAAAGATGGATCCAAGGATACATGATACAACTCTGCCAATGGAGGAGTTGGACACTATGCTTCCAGATCCTGAAGCCTTCAGCAGAGGATGAGCGAGCTGGCAGAGATGGTAAGCAGACTCGAAATTCGTGGCCATGAGAAACGAGAAATCTTGTGCTGTATATTCTGTAGTCGGCTTTGACACACATACGCCCACGTTGTTTATCTATATCAAACACGGGACTACATTTTTCTTAACCTTGATAACGCAGAAATCAAAATATCCGATGTGGGGTAAATTTGTATGAGACATTACCTACAAGAATGTTGAGTTTGCCACCAAACAGAGAGGAGACGATCTCCATCAGTTTCTTTCTCTCGGAATGGGAAGATACATCACATACTGAACCATAGACTTGGAGGCCCTTCTCTTTCCATTCGCGTAAGCTTTGGTTAAGGTGGGACTCGGATATGTCACACGTATAAACTATTGCTCCAAAGCCAGCTAGTTCCTCAACCATGCCATGCCTAAAGATTCAAAAAACATAGAAATCTTTGCAGAATCAGGATCTGAAGTGAAAAAAGAATCAGAATCAGAGTTAGAATCAGTATCCAAATCTACAAATCTAAGATGCTTTTGGTTGCGTAACCGACCAAACCGTACATTTTATGTATGTGGGGAAGACAGAACCAAGAAGGGAAATTTCTCTTATATGTTGATATACGTTGTCTGATATTGGAACTTGTGGTATTACAAGGAAAACAAACCGTTCAAGGCTTATATCTATACGCGAATACAAGAGGAAGAAGACGAACCCGAACCCTCTGGCTCCACCAGTTACAACGGCGGTCATGCCTCTCAGCGTCCACCGGTTATCCATTCGTGTCCAGAAACTTTAGCCAGAAAATGGCACCGAAAAATGCAGATTCAAGACACTATGAAACTAGTTTCATTTAAAAGATATAAGTAAGGGCGAATACATGAAGATCACGTTTTAGTAACCACAAAAAGGAAGAACAAATTCAAGGGTTGGCCCCTACTCGTGAAAAACTCATATCCTCTTCCAGAAGTTATTTCAGAATTACGCTAAACAAATTTTCGGGTCAAAGAAAGAATTCTAGCGAGGGAGTGATGCTAATGGCAACGAACGATGGCTTAAAATGTTTTAATTAAGTCACTGAACTGAAATTCCTAGGCCCGGAGGCAGCCTAAGTACCCAACAGAACTGAAATTCCTGCAAGTGATCTGAAATGAATGAAACACGTTGTCCGTATGGAGTTGAAAATGGCAGCTTCTGATGAACATTGTACTATCTGAATCCTCTTCGTCTTTCACCGTCTTCCTGAGACTGAAACGAGTTGCCCAGAATCGCCGATTGGATATGAATCCGAAGAACTCACACTGATTTCACAAAGAATGAACGAACACACACAATACGAAAAGATCGACACACACGAATTACGAGTTCAGGTTAAACAGTGTGCTTAACCCTACGTCTCGGGGAGAGAGAGTAATCCACTATCAGATCAAGATTACAGGTACAGGAGCAAGAAAATACGAGAGCTTACAATACAGCCATTTGAAGCAACAACAGCTGAGTCTATTTAATATTGAAGATGACCAAAGCCTCTGATACGTTCGGAGACTTTTCCTTCCTCTGAACCCTCTATTTCTACCAGAGTATTTGGACGAGATTAAAAGGCATAACCTCACAAAACTCCACCTTGCCTGTAAATCGAGTCTTCAACATTTCAACTCAGACATCTCTCTCTCCAATACTGAACGTTATCATGTTACCTCTACTCTGAGCAGCTTCAACAAGTTCGCCAGCTTACTCAGTTGAATTGTCTTGGTTAATAAGTCCGCAGGGTTATCATTTGTGTGTATTTTCTGCACCGAAACTGACCCTTGAGCTATTACATCTCGTATGAAGTGAAGACGCACATCAATGTGCTTTGTTCTCTCATGATGGACGCTATTCCGAGCAAGATCAATGGCACTTTGTGAGTCGCACATTACAGTCACTTGTTCTGTTCCAAAACCTAGTTCATTCATTAGTCCTCGTAACCATAATCCTTCCTTAATTGCCTCAGTTAGTGCCATGTACTCTGCCTCAGTTGTCGACAATGCTACCACATTCTGAAGTCCAGATTTCCAACTTACGACGTTGCCACCAACCATGAAAACAAAACCTGTTACTGATCTCCGTCTGTCTAAGTCTGCCGCAAAGTCTGAGTCACAAAACCCCTGCACTTTTAGCGACTCTCCTTTCTGATACCTTAAACCATAGTTCTTGGTTCCATTCAAATATCTCAAGACCCACTTCACTGATTCCCAATGCTCTTTCTCTGGCTTTCCCATGAACCTGCTGATGACTCCAACTGGAAATGCCAGGTCTGGACGAGTTCCGATCATAGCATACATTATGCTACCCACTGCATTTGCGTAAGGGACTGAGTCTGCGAAGTTCTGATTAAACTCTTCTGGATTTCTGATTGACTGTAGCTTAAAATGCGCTCCAAGTGGTGTTTGTACTGGCTTGGAGTCTCTCATATTAAACGTTCTTATTACTTTGTCAACATAATCAGTCTGGGACAGAGTTAACAAACCTGATGCTCTGTTTCTGTTGATCGACATTCCTAGTATCTTTTTAGCTGAGCCGAGATCTTTCATGTCGAATTCCGTGTTTAGCACATCCTTTAGTAACTGTAAGTCAGTCTTCTCTCTTGCTGCTATCAACATATCGTCTACATAGATCATGAGGAAGATCTTTTCTCCCCTCTTGTCATTTCTGAAGTATACACATGAATCATAACAGCTTCTTGTGAATCCTTGTTCCTGTATGAACTCATCGAACCGGATATTCCAACGCCTGGGTGACTGTTTTAACCCGTACAGGGATCTTTTCAGTAAACACACCTTACTCTCATTTCCTTTTTCCAGAAATCCCTCTGGCTGCTCCATAAGGATGTCTTCTTCTAGTGTTCCGTGCAGAAAGGCCGTCTTTACGTCAAGTTGGTCCAGCTCTAGATCTTTATGAACCACTATAGATAGTAAGACACGTATGGAAACATGTTTCACTACTGGTGAGAAGATCTCCGAGTAATCAACTCCTTCAATCTGTGAGAACCCTTTTGCAACAAGTCTGGCCTTGAATCTTGGCTTCTCAACACCAGGTATTCCTTCCTTTAACTTGTATACCCACTTACAGCCTATCACTTTCCTGTTTTTCGGTCTATCAGTGAGAATCCAAGTCTGATTTTTCTTCAATGAGTCCATCTCCTCTTCCATTGCCCTTTTCCAGTTATCCCATCTAGCATGTCTCTTTGCTTCCTGGTAGGTTTGTGGTTCTTCCAGCTCTATACTTTGTGATGCTGCTAATGCAAAGGATGCTGACTCTGTTTCCCTAAATCTGGGGGGAGGCTTGATTTCTCTCCTCGTTCTATCTCGGGCAAGCACATATTCTATCAGCTTTTCTTGCAGATCTGGCGGTGGACTCCCATCAGTTCTAAATTAATTTTCAGCTTCTGCTTCTTGCTCATCAGGTGGTGCTTCCCCTATTATGGTTTTCTTGTTTTTGTCCGGTGTCTGAGGTTGATTCTCTGCTTCACCTTGAAGCTTACTTTCTCCAGTTTCTGATTTAGCTGCTGTGAGTGGCATACCTCCTATCTCAGTTACACTCTGTTCTGGAATTTCAGATCTTTTTGTCAGGTCTGGATACACGTCCTTGTACATGGTCTCCTCATCAAACCGAATGTTCCTACTGATCATTACTTTATTGTCTTCAGGATACCATATCTTGTACCCTTTTACCCCTGTTGGGTATCCAACCAAAAAACCTTTCTTAGCTCTTGGATTCAGCTTGCCTTGGTTGTCATATGCGTATGCTGCACATCCAAAACGTCGAAGGTGGTGATATCCAGTATCTTTTCCAGACCATACTTCATTTGGGATCCTGAAATTTAAGGCTGTTGATGGAGAACGGTTGATTATGTATACACTGACGAATGCTGCCTCTGCCCAGAACATATGTGGCAATCCAGATTCAGACAAAATGCATCTAACCTTTTCCATAATGGTACGATTCATTCTTTCTGCGATGCCATTCTGCTGAGGTGTATATGCACAGGTTCTATGTCGAAGAATCCCTTGACCTGTACAATGTTCCTCAAACTTTCTGTTGCAATACTCAAGTCCATTGTCGGTTCGCAATACCTTGAGCTTCTTTCCAGTTTGACGTTCTACCATTGTCTTCCATTCAATGAACTTCTCAAAAGCTTCATCTTTTCTTTTTAGAAAATAGATCCAGACACGCCTAGAATAGTCATCAACAAAGCTCATAAAGTATTGATTCCCTGACATTGACGGGGTTGTTGATGGTGAGCCCCACAGGTCCGAGTGAACATATTCTAATGTACCCTTTGTTGTGTGTTTTCCTGTTCCGAAAACCAGTCTGTGTGACTTCCCGAATATGCAATGTTCACAAAATTCCAGGTCTGTCACTTCAGCATTGTCAATCACCCCTTTCTTGGCTAATAGCTCCATTCCTTTTCGTGACATGTGGGCAAGCCTACTATGCCACAACTTGGTTTTGCTTGATGTGTTCTGACTTGTTAGTGCTTTTCCTGTTGCTGTCTTTCCATCGAGTATGTAGAGTCCATTCAGAAGGTTTCCTTTTAACACTGTCCTGCAGCCCTTGATAACTTTCAAGCAACCATCTTGTGACTTATACCAACACCCTTGTGTTTCTAAAGTTCCTAATGATATCAGATTGGTTCGCAGAGAGGGTACATATCTGACTTGGGTCAGAATCACTTCAGACCCATCATGAGTTTGTAATCTGATGTTTCCAATGCCGTATATCCTGCAAACAGCATTATTACCCATCTTTACTCCTCCATCGTGTTTTTCCTCAAAATCTGAAAACCATTCTTTCTTGGGACATAAATGAAATGTACATCCAGAGTCTAACACCCAGTCATTTTCATCATCCCTTAGTCTTGTGTTTAAACTTTCTGATTGAACCACCATTAGGACTTCTGAGTCACATCTGTTCCCTTTAACAACATCTGCATCAAACTTATCAGTGTCATTCAAGCCCAACTCTTTCTTTCTCGCATAACATTCCTTTTTCAAGTGCCCTTTCTTGCCACAATGCCAGCATTCTACATCTCTATTTCTTGATTTCGAACGTGATCTGGCCTTTCTGGATCCTGATTTTCCTCTGTGTTGGGTTCTTCCTCGAGCATTTAAGCCTTCTGCTGATCCTTTACCAATTTTCCCTTGTTGTATCAGCTCCATTTCTTTCGAGCGAGCTGCAGCCTTAACCTCCTCAGGTGTGATTGATGCTCTTGAGTATTTTAGCACCTCTCGTAACTGTTCATACGGTGGCGGAAGAGAATTAAGTAGATACACCGCTTGATATTCTTCTTCCACTTTAACTTGCAAACTTTGAAGATCTGATAAGATCTTCTGAAACTCATCCAAGTTTTCTTCAACCGACTTCCTTTCATCCATTCTGAATCCAGAAATGCGTTGCATCAGATACATCCTGTTTGGCAGGGACTGTTCCAAGAACATCCGCTCAAGGAGTCTCCAGATCCCAAAAGCTGTTTTCTCTTGAATTACCTTTCTTAGTATCTGATCTGACAAACACAGCACAATTAGGTTTCTTGTTTTTCTGCTCCTCTCTGCACGATCTTGACTGGTCCTAGTTGATCCACCTACAGCTTCATGACCTGTTGTGATCATTGATTCAACCTCTGAAATAGTCGAAATCTCAGTCATTCCCAAAATTCCACCAGTTCCAGGAACTGGAGTTCTCAATTCCTCTGCGATCTTCAATTCTTGACTTGTTTTCCAGGTTGCAGGATCGTCATCGAGTGTATCTTGGAGTCCCATTATCTCCAGCCCGATCTGGATTTTCTCCTTCCATAAAACGAAATCATTCTTTCCATCGAACTTTTCTACGTCGAGTTTGTGCAATGGAGCCGTCATCGTATCGTTCCTTTCTCTTCAATCGCAGTCTGAATCTTCCACCAAATTCAACCTTCTTGTTCGCTCAATCAGCCGGGCTCTGATACCACTTGTACTATCTGAATCCTCTTCGTCTTTCACCGTCTTCCTGAGACTGAAACGAGTTGCCCAGAATCGCCGATTGGATATGAATCCGAAGAACTCACACTGATTTCACAAAGAATGAACGAACACACACAATACGAAAAGATCGACACACACGAATTACGAGTTCAGGTTAAACAGTGTGCTTAACCCTACGTCTCGGGGAGAGAGAGTAATCCACTATCAGATCAAGATTACAGGTACAGGAGCAAGAAAATACGAGAGCTTACAATACAGCCATTTGAAGCAACAACAGCTGAGTCTATTTAATATTGAAGATGACCAAAGCCTCTGATACGTTCGGAGACTTTTCCTTCCTCTGAACCCTCTATTTCTACCAGAGTATTTGGACGAGATTAAAAGGCATAACCTCACAAACATGGAGAAGAAACTGAAATCTCTTCATAATGTGTTCACAATAACTGAGGACCG